TCTCCTCTTCATCAATATATCAAGGTCTCAGACATATCCAGAGCCTGTCTCTGATTGGCTGAAACACCAAACAGATCATTGCAGCATTGGGATAATTGGGTCCCCTATTAACATTTGCTCCCGTTTAGTATTATGGGCGTCATAGCCATAGACTATAAAAGTCTTACCCAAGGCTGAATCATAAACTAAAATGTATATGTATGTATAAAGGGTTACGTCCTTAGCTGGCTAATGAGTAACAAGCTAAGCTACCAAGCACACAAACACCTGTGAACGGGACATGTATAATATTATCATTTTAGACTTCTTAGAAGTTCTGTTAGTACATTCAAGCGCACAGCACAACATTTTAGTTGTCTGGTATTTGTAACAATATTCCCTAAAAGGCACAATCACCACGAACACGGCTAAAGCTAAAGGGTCAAGTACAGTACTATGACTAACTAACGTTGTAGCCTCTATGGTTGTAGCCTAGCAGAGTGGACAAGTTAATGTTAGCTGACAGTGAGGCATGTACATGTCCATCAAAGTGACCACGCCCTAATTTATGCAAAAGCTTTAAGGCTTAATATTAATTAAACAGATGACTTGAGAAAAAATTCACCCCCCCAATCCATATTCATGAAGGGGGGATCTAACTATACAGAGAATATGGTTTTTTGAAGCACGATGTGAACATGTTTAATTCTGCTCTAAAGTTGGGCATTTTAACATTGGGGTCTCTGGAAATTGCTCCCTTCTGCAGACTGCTCCTACTGGCCACTAGATGAACTGCAGTTTGAGGCACTTCCGCATTGGCGTCCCGGCTCTTCCCCAGAGTTTGCCGCTTGGTCGAGTAACCTGAAATGACAGCTGTCAAAGGGGGGAGAGCGGATTTAAAAGGGTTAGCTGAGCGCTATGATAGGCTTGAGAGAATAGAGCGAAGTGATTGGTTAAGCTGGGGAGTGACACCCCCAATCACTGATTGAGAGGAGAGAGAGTAGTAACATGGAAATAGTAAATGAATGAGAAAAGACGGTCTTCCTGGTTGAACTTGCGCTGAGCTCCATAAAGATTACTTTAAAAAGTCCCAAGAAAGTGTTTGAAAAGACGGAACATTTTACAAATATGCCACAACTATTTAGACATGTTTGAAACCTTTTTTGGGACATTTAAAACATACTTTTTATTTACCACTTTTTTGGGACTTTTTTAAAATAGTTTTTGTATAGTTCTCACATATCTTTGGGACTTTTTCCATTGTCTAAAAAACCCCATTATTTACCACGTATTCTTTTCATTTTCAGACTTATTTACCACTTTTTTGGGACTTTTTTAAAATACTTTTGGTCCATTGTCACATATCTTTTAGACTTTTTCCCATTGTTTAAAAAAAACACAATTTGCAACATATTTTTTAACATTTTCAGACTCTTCTAACACTTTTTGGGACTTTTTAAAACACTTTTTGTACAGTTTTCACATATTTTAGAACTTTTTCAGTTGTTTAAAAAAAAAAAAACATTGTTTATCAAATCTTTGTAAAATGTTCCGTCTTTTCTAACACTTTTTTGGGATATTTTTAACATAACTTTTGTACATTGTCACATATGTTTTAGACTTTTTCCCATTGTTAAAAAAACAACCCATTATTTACCACATATTTCTAAAATGTTCAGACTTTTCTAACACCTTAATAAGGAGAACATCCCTAAAAATGTGTATTATTGTTATACTTTTTATTATTTATTTTCTGTTAAAATACAAATATTTAAATAAAAAATAAAAATATGTATTTATATTTTGAATGTTTTTTAGTAGATTTTTTAAATTATTTGACACTATTTATACATATTTAATATAATTTTCAATTATTTTAATTCTTACATTTTTTTGACTTGTTTCTGATCCACAAATGTAATAATTGTGGCTTTCTGGCGATATTTACCAATTTTGTTTTTTTCAGACTTTTCTTACCCTTTTTTTGGGACTTTTTAAAACTAGTTTTGACTTGTTTCTGACCTAATAACTAAATAGTTGTGGCATATTTGTAAAATGTTCCGTAATTTCTAACACTTTCTTGGGACTTTTTATAATACTTTTAGTACAGATGTCACATATTTCTTTGACTTTTTCCCATTGTTTAGAAAAAATACTTTATTTAGCACATATTTTTCACACTTTTTTTGACTTCTTTCCAAATACTAAATAAAGTTGGCTGTCTCTCCTCAGTGGAGATCCTGCAGCTGGTGAAGCGGCGCGACCTCCTATAGCCGATATGTTTAACATACTTTTTGTACTGATGTCACATATTTTTGAACTTTTTCCCATTGTTAAAAAAGAAACTTTATTTACCACATATTCTTTACATTTGCAGACTTTTCTCACCTTTTTTTGGGACATTTTAAAACTTGTTTCTGACCCAGAAACAAAATATTCGTGTGTGTCTCTTTACATTTGTTACAGCAGAAAGAGCCAAAGACAGCTTAATGTTAACTAAGAATCATGCATTAAAAAAGAATATTGAAGATAAAAAAATAATAAAAATTACACAATTGATTAAATATGCGTGTGTGTCTCTCCTCAGTGCTGGAGATCCTGCAGCTGGTGAAGCGGCGCGACCTCCTATTGGCCGACAGTCACATCCTGGAGCTGGAGCTGGAGGTCAGCGGGGGGGCGGAGGCGGAGGACGGCGGGCGGAGGAAGGCCAAAGACGTGGAGCTGCTTTACGAAGAGCTGCAGAAAGAGCTGTGGGCCGTGGTGAGGGAGTCGCTGCGCTGCCCCACCGCGGGGCCCAACCTGGGGCTCGTGGTGCAGGTGAGGGACCCTCCAGTGGTTTGAAAAACAAAAAGTCTGAAAATGTAAAGAATATGTGATAAACAATGTTTTTTTAAACAATGGGAAAAAGTCCAAAAATATGTGACATCTGTACTAAAAGTATTTTAAAAAGTCAGATGAATTAGAAAAGACGGAACATTTTACAAATATGCCACAACTATTTAGTTATTAGGTCAGAAAGCACTGAGGAGAGACGCCCACCATTATTTAATGATTCGAAAAGGGCGGATAGTTAACGTGTAGATATCAGGTGGGGTCCCACAGGGCTCAGTCTTAGGCCCCCTGCTATTTTCCCTCTATTTGCGTTGGCGGATATTTAAATAATAAACTTTATTTATATAGCACCTTTCCTGCTCTCGAAATCTCAGGCCATTTTGTCTTCATGAGCCGATGAGCAGCTCTCTTAGGAGTGAACGAAGCCCCGCCTCCGACGCTGTATCCAGTTCTTATTAAACATCCATGCTTCAATAATAAACTGTATTTCTAGAGCAAAAAAAGAAGAAAAAACATTTAATTTATTTTTTAAAGTTAGCCTATCATCCATCCTTACTATGGCATTTGCCACTTGATTGACGTACAGGTAAGCCAGTCTGAGTTGTATTGTGCCATACGGGTTCATGCAGTTATGAGGGGCCCCCCCCTCTCACAACACAGATTGGGCAGGGGCGGCCCTCTAGGTAGATCATTTGGGCTTGGTCATTTTAAAAGTAGCTCCCAAGCTGAAAAAGGGTGGGCACCCCTGCCTCAGTGGCTTCAGTATAGATTAGGTTTAAAAGTCACTACATCTGTTGTGTTGTGTTCAGGTGCTGCAGCAGGAGGAGCAGGTGGACCAGGACTCGCTCCCCGGGGGTCCGAGGCCTCGGGGTCTGAAGCAGCGTTGGGAGGAGGCCGTGAACCAGGCGGCCGACGCCTCGCTGCCCCAGAAACAAGAGTTCACAGCCGGGGAGCTGGGGGCGTTCCTGGACCGGATCAGAGCCCGAGTGGTGGAGGACCTGGGGGCCGCCAAGAGGAACGTGGTGTCCATCTACCCCGAGGACTACCAGCCCTTCATGGTGAGGAGACGTTACTTAGTTAGTTACATTGTTAGTAGGTTACTTTGCAACTTAGCTACTTAGTTAGCTACTTAGTTACATCTTCAGTAGGTTACTTTGCAACTTAGCTACTTAGTTAGTTACTTAGTTACATCTTCAGTAGGTTACTTTTTTAGATATATATATATATTTTGTAACTTAGATAGTTAATTAGTTAGCTAGTTAGTTAGTTACATCTTTAGTAACTGGGGCTGCCAAGAGGAACGTGGTGTCCATCTACCCCGAGGACTACCGGCCCTTCATTTTGAGCAAAACACTTCATAGACATGTTGTTTTATATATCTGAGACCTATAATATATACCTAAAAATAGTATAATAGGAGACCTTTAAACGTTCTTTGCGACTAGCCAGCGTAATAATGGATTTCTTGGTGTTCACTTTTGACCTTTGACAAAACCAAGCTTTTAAACGGGAAAAAAGTGGCTTGTCAAACACAGGTTGAACCCAAATCTTGTCATCGGTAAGACCTTTATTATTCATGACAACAATATCTCAATAACCAAAATCAGGAGAATCTAAATGTTATTTGGCCTTTTTTTTGTGAAAGTTGGTGTGAAACATTTTCTCTTATCAGTCACAGGTGGAACTAAGAATCAGCTGAACCAATTAGTGAAAACATGCATTTCTTAATATGATTAGAAAAAATGCCACAACATGTGTTCTGATTGGTCTAAAGTCTTAAACTATTGCTTAACATTGTGAGATTATGATTTTAGTTGTAATTCTCTCATAAATATTCATAAATTATTCACCAGAATCAAACTAAAGTAAATGTTTATCTCTGTAAATAGGTGTTTTCATTTAAGGGAACAATGTATTTCTTGGTGTTCACCTTTGACCTTTGACATCAGGTGTACGTGCAGAGTTACCACCAGGCGGTTGCTAGGCGACTGGAGTCCATCACGGACAACCAGCTGGAGATCAGCGACGTCTACTCTCTGCTGGACTGGCTGCACAACATGTACAACAGGTATACCATCAGATCACTCACTCCCTGCAGGCACTTCCTGTTTGTGTTAGGTGGTATAGAGCAGGGGTCCCCAGTGACTTTTCCTAAAAAGGGTATATTTATCACCGAGTACATTTTTGGGGCGTGGGGAATGAAGAGAAAATAAAATATGACCCCCCTCGGCGGTTGTAGGGGTAATGGTGGCGGGTCTAGTGTTAAAACAGAAATATTGAATATTAAATTATTTTTACCGAATTTAAATTTAAACTTTTGATTTCATTTATTATAGTATCATTATTTTAGGAATTATGCACGACTGATGTTTTTTTTAATTAACATTAAACAAATCTCACCTACCCCCTGCAGTACTCCAACGTACCCTTAGGGGTCTGCGTACCCCCATTTGAGAACCACTGGTATAGATTACACAAATTAGATTGATGACAGATCTTAGTCTACACAACAACACAGCATCATTATCAAAAGTTCTTCTTACTGCACATATTTTATTCCAATTCCATTTCAATGTAAATATTGCCATATTTTACTATATTTTGTTATACTTTTTTTATGTTATTATAGTTTTCTTACATATGTTATTCCATTTTATTTAAATTTAAATACTGTTAATTCTTAATATTCTTTTAATATCTTTTAATATTTTTTAATGTTATTATAGTTTTCTTAAAATAGTTTTCTATCACTGTTTTGATTTTTTTTTTACTTTTTTGAATGCACCATGACACCAAATCAAATTCCTCGTACGTGTCAACCTACCTGATTCTGATTCTGATTGTGAACCAATGGGCACCTTGTGTGTGTGTGTGTTTGTTTCAGGGACGTTCTGGGGACCGTGTGCATTACGAGTCCCTTCAGTCGGTCCCAGCTCAGCCCTCTGCTGCCGACAGAGACCGTGGACCGGCTGGAGCTCGACTGCCTCAACTCTGTCAGGGTGAGACACACAAACAATGTCCTTGTTGTGATGACGTTGTTTAAAGGTCTAAAGAAGACCAGGAAGCTTCTCCTCAAGTTTAACAGTATTTATTAATGCAATGATATCGTAGGTTCACTGGTCCACAGTCCACATGAGCGGTTAGCTGTCTGCAGTTGCATGAATACAAAGAGACCATTTCTCTATCAAACATCGTGTTTTATATGTTCCCACTCGTATTTAGTCTCCTTCCATTGGCTGTCGTTGACGGGGCGGGTCTTCTTCTGTAGTCCTCTGATGACGTAGCCATAACTCATCTCTTATCATATTTATTATACAATTCTTCTAATGTATGTTGGTCATAAACACATAATAATATTAGTAAGGCAGCGTCGATGAGTGAGAGTTGGAGACGGTGTGTTTAGTGTGTAACTCCACGCGTCACAGAAACCGGAACTCGAGGTGTCGCCAACATCCGGCCCGTGGGACAACACTGCTGCAGTAAATGATGTCCCTTAAAGTTCCGGCGCAATATATTGATTATTTCTTACACCCATCATGCAAAAGTCACACCTTGATGTCTTCTCTACATCACTACGTGTCCCCGTTCTGTCCCCGGTGTGTCCCCGGTGTGTCCCCGGTGTGTCCCCGTTCTGTCCCCGGTGTGTCCCCGGTGTGTCCCCGGTGTGTC